TCGCAACCTGAAACAGCCAGCCTGATAACATTTGTGAAATCCTCGAGCACAGCGCTTTCCGGCCGGGCCCTTAAATTTGCACTTGCCTGTTTGAAATGCAAAGCACAAGGGTTTTCCTTCCGAATCATGGGACACGCAACCATCAGGTAATTCAAGACGATTCGACCCCTTACCAGAGGCAGCGCCTTTGTTTCCCTTGAACTGGGTTTTTGGTTGCTTTGCAGGGCGTTCAGCAACTGACTGAGGGGCGGCCCTAGCCGCCGGAATGGGCGCCAAATACTGCAAAACATCTGGCGCTCGTTGAAGTTCGCGAATGGCCTCATCCAGTGGCCGAGGGGCCGGTGGTGTTGTCTGCAATTTGCCCATAGTCTTGTGTGAGGCCATGATGAACATCTGCTTGTCACATTCAATAAGTTGCTGCAAGGTAACCTTGCTGAATCCTCTGGGCTGATCCTTCACCAGCTGCAAAAACAGGTACTGAACCCAGCTCTCAATCACTTGAAAGGAAGCCAAATTCGCTAGGTCCATTGCAAGGCTGCGTCTCTGCCAGGCCGATTTGAGCTTGATCTCCGTGTTGGCCTCGCAAAATGATTCACCAGTTTTGGAGCTGAGCTTAAGGTGACCAGAAGAATCCGTAGCAATTGACGAATCCTTCCTGACCGATTGGACTTCTTGTGACCGACTACAGCATTGCTCTGCTTTGACGTAAACCAAAATGCCCGACTCATACATCTCCACAAAGGAGTCCACCAGACTATTCGCAGGTATAGTGTCTGGTGTGAAAATCACTTCTCCTGATCTGCCTGCCGGGCAACTCTCTCAGCGGTTGGCAATTTCTTGACAGCTGCAGAAACGTCAGGTGTAGCCTCGACCCGAGATCGCAAATCTGAAAGAGCCAGAGTGTGCGATTCGAAAAATAGCCTTCGCATCGTTGCCATTTGCTGATCAGTCGGGGTAGCGCCACACAATCGAGTCACCAGCACCCGAAAAGGGGCCTCATCTGCCAGCTGTGGATTGTACTGAGTTGAGAAAGCAAGGCGCCCAAAGGTTGCAAGGCCCTGCGCCTTAAGCGCATCGAGCAGTGCAGTCTCAACACCGATCTGGGCGGCCCGCTCCAAAAAGGCTGCCTCTGAGTCAAGTGTAGCCGCGGCCATGCCGTAGAAACTACCACAAACGAAAGTCTGAAACCTAGCCACGGTCAAATTCCCCAAGTTGATGGGACACACAACAGTGCAGGTCTGCCAGATTCTGCTTTGCCCCACCTGCTCGGATGCAGTTTGGGCCACGCAGGGGCAGGAAGCAACATGACATGCACCGCGAAATGACAAAGGTCAATCACGCATGTTGTAAGAACTCACAGAGTCAGCCCACCTTTTCCTGGCATCGCAACGGTGCCATGGTTGGACAGGTGGGCCTGCCAACGAGGCGGTCGCGCACCTCTTTTAAAGAGCAGCTCTGATGCTGCGCAGTTTACTAGCGGGTCGGCTTCCGCTTCTGAAGTGCTCGGTTGCACTGCATGCACTCTTCAAGGTCAATGCTGCCGGCAACAACATCATTGAAAGTGCAAAACTTAACCGAGGGGTTCCTGCCGCAAATTGAAAATCCATCCTCGTTCACAACATGCGTCACACCAGAAATGGTGTGGACAATCAGCACATCACTGGAGAGTCCGGGAAAAAGGGTTCGTTCCTCCAGTTGATCATCGGCTGGACTTGCTAGGGCATCTTCATCAGCCGGAATGTCAGCCTCGGAATCAATACTTGACTCAGAAGACGAGTCCTTGCCATCCTGAGCCGCAGGTTCCTGAACAGCGTCGGTATGCTCAGAAGGTGGTCCGCAAGCAGATGATTGCGCCGCCTGCAACACGCGGTCGACCGCAGGGAGGTCAGGATTGAAACTGCCCGCCCTGATTTTTGCAAACATAGCCAGGACTTTCCCATAAAGGGCAGTGTAGGCCTCGCGCGAGTAAGTCAGGACGGACTTCATACCAGGTTTGACGTGGTGGCCCATCAGCCTCCGCTCGCCAGGCGAGAATACCACTTCAGTCGACCTTCCAGCCCACGTCAGCAAAGTTGGTTTGCAGCTGTGGGTAGCATAGCTATGAAGGCTCTCTGTCGGAACATCGATAGTTGACAAAAACTCGCGCATCCAGCAGGTAGCCTCTGGGGCACTCATGGGGTCAGTGATCCATTCGCCACGGCTCTCCGAGAAGCTTGGCAGAAATTCCGGATAACGATCAAGCCGTTCTGCGGCCCTGGCATCAATCCAGCAAGTAGCCCAATCCTCACCACTCACACCTGAACCCAGCGCCACATAAGGTAAGGAGCGCGTTTGCGCCTCCGCCGTTTGTGTGGTCTTTGACTTAAGTGCAACAGCATGGACGAGGGTCTCTGATTGGCCGCGTTCCAAATTGATGGATCTTAACCTCAAAGAGTCTTTCCATCGGCAACAAGCATGCACACAAAACAGCAGTTGGCCCAAAATACAAGCTTCGCGAGACGGCAGGTGTTTGATCAAATGCTCCAGCTTCCTGACATGAGACACCAAGAGGGGTTGCTTCTGTTCCAGTGGGTCCTTGGTGAGATACATGTCCCTGGCCACTCCTTTGCATCGACCAGAAACAACAGTCCTCAAGTCCAAGGAAATAAACTTGGCAGTGCCTTCCAGGAAAAACAACGCTTCAATGAGATGTTGTGCAGAGGTAGCACCTAAACCCCACGCACGCATGTCACAGAGGTGTTCGTAGAGTTGGTCCTCGGTGAATCTCAGGGGCTTCCAGCTCTTCAGGCGGAATGCTTGAGCAAATCGATGAAGAGACCCTGATCTCTTCTGGAGTGTCGAAGAGGCCTTCGGTCTGAAACAGTCTGAAAAAGATTGACTGATGCTGTCAGCCTCCGAGGACTCACCCAACAGCTTTATCAGGCTCTTGCCCAAGGCCGTCGCACCCGGATCATCTAGGAGAAGGTCCCTTAGTCTTCCGAGAGCAACTCTTCGAATATCTTCATCTGGCTTTTCATGCCTGGCTGATTTCAATCGAAGGCTGATTTTTGATGGGACCTCCATGTCTGAACAATCGCGTCCTCTTGAGGCAACCTCCGGGACAACCACCGAGTCAAACGTGTCTCGGGCTCCAACAACAGTTGGTAGGATTATATTCTCAATTCTGGCGCTCAAATTATCTGCAGCAGCACTTCCGACAGGGCCCAGAACCGCCACCAAGGAGTTGTGTTCCCAGGGTAGACGAGGCCGGTCAATTCGGGCTCTCTTATTGACAGTTGCAAGGGCCTCATACTTCCAGCGATGTTCAGATCCAGAAGGGTCCACAATTTCCAGCCGCTGAGAAATATTGTCAATAAGGACACCATCCTCAGAACAATTCTCGCAAACAGAAGTGTCATCAAGATTAGGCTCACCAGCTTCTGCAGGGTCACCGTCTTCGACACCAACCGGCCCTCCCGAAGGTGTACGCGGGTCGGGTTCGAAATCCCGGCTTGGATCTTCAGAGCTCGGGCCTGTTAGCCAGCGCTTCCGAATGCCCCGCACAGAAGGGATTTCCAAAGGCTGATCTCCTTCCATCATGAGCCGCCTGCACACACCCCCTTATTGCGGCCAGCAAACACATATGTCGAGTCAGCCAAAAAGATCAAATATTGCAACAACCATCCAGGTTGAAAAGGCTCGCATTGCTGCACAAAAACTATTGCTGCGAGCGACACCCTCCCACCGCACCCTCTTGAGCCAAAATGGCTACATTGCTGCGAGCGACACCCTCCCACCGCACCCTCTTGAGTAAAGCGGTGGCAACAAAGAGTATGAACAAGGTGTCGAGACACATGCAAGTCAAGGCATCTCAAAAGGACAGACACGGTTTCAGACATGGCTGTTCCAAACAAAAAAAAAAACGAAACCAAATGGTTCGAAAACTGGTTCGGGTGCAAAACTGTGCCTGTTGTTGTCCACGAAGGCTTCCCCCACCTAAAAAGACCCGGTGAAAGGGCTCACCGTGTTTGGCTTCATTCAGAGAGAAGGTTTTGTCCACAAGTGGAAATGTCCATCCATGGCTTGACACGCACTTGGTGCCTTCGGTTCATGGCTACAACAAGGAGTGTGCCAACACCACTCCGTGCAGTTTTACTCCATCATCTGTTTTTTTTAGTATTGTAAACATTATTTTTTCACATTGCCTAGGTTGGCTGAGTTTTGGTGCGGTTTCTTGTTGTAGGCTTCTGTGCTGAATCTATGCATATGCTTCGGTACAGGGGTATAGTATTGAACTGGGGGTTGAGGCTCTTTCTGGTCTTTCAGAAGTCATGATCCTCGCGAACCTCATGTCACGACTCACCTGGCCGAAAAAAGACAGCAGCCAAGCTGCAAAGACTCCAAGGTCCATGTCGGGCTTCATTGCGCGCGAAACTCCAGGATCTGCTTCGTGGACAAGGCCTTGAAGAAAGCCACGAGCTGGGGGACACAACTCACAGCCCTTCTTGTTCATCTTCAGAACCAAAAAAACACGAAAAAAAAGGTAAAGCGAATCAAACGCAAACACACCCGATTTCGGAAATGTTGAAGTGCAGGTGCATGGATTTGGCTCAGCATGCCAGAATCGTCTATCCTTGAATGGGATTTCAAAATACACCATCTCACATAGCTGATACATCTGATACTATGCGTGCGTTGTGTTTACGGGGCTGGAACAAATGCACAAGCAAGAACGAGCTGAAGTCTTCCGTCCATTTTCGCAAAAGATCGGTCATGGCTTTGCCAATTGCGCTTCAGCGGCCTCCTTATGCAATTTGGAGGCAAAAAAGAAGCGCTTCTTGATAGGGTGAAAATACACAGCATGACAACTCTTGTTGCGAATTAGCGCGGCAACCTCCCTTGGAAGGATGCCAAAGCCGTTTACAACATTCAAAATACCTGCCGGATAAGCCGTCAGGAGCTCTTTCACCATCTCGCGCCCCGTGACCTTGGGGTGCACTTGAAGCTCCATGAAGCGTCGCACTTCATCATCGGCAACTCGCTGATACTCTTGCTTCGTGTCATCCAATGGCATTCCTTTCCTTAGTTCAAGAGATACACAACACATATCCCTGAGAGGTTTTGAACACCGAAAAAGTAAATCATCATCCGTTCAAGCCAGGCGCTTCAGATTCTCACAGGCCTTCACCAAGTCGCCAATCCGCAAGCCACCTGAAATGAACTCTGGTCAAAGTCCGCCCAAACAAAAACTCGAACGGGGCAAACACACCTTCATCAATCAACATGTTGTTGAATTGAGCCGAAACACAAGCATCCACGAAGTCTTTCCAATTCTTCTCATGCCCATGCAGTGCCAAAAACTCCTTCGTTTCTTCCTCCGTCAAGTCAGCAACCCAAATGTCTTCCTGTCTTTCAGTTCCACCAGCATCGAAAGCCAGCGCCACTGCCGCCGAGGAGGCTGATACAATCACCTTGGACCAAGGATAAATAGACGTAACTACAGTCCCCGCAAAACGTTTTCTGTTTGAACCATTGGAACTTAGTCTTTCAGCTGGAGAGCATGTATGGCACAGCCGATTTTGTCCGTCGCCACATCCTTCGCTGTAGAAGAGACTCGGTCGATGCCTCGCCCATAGGAACCGGAACAAAATGACTCGGGTCAAATGCATTACAATATTTGAAAAAAAAACTGCTGTCCACTCAGTCCTTCAATGGTTGTACGAGGGATGTCGAGGAGGAGAACGGGATACTTGGTGAGGTTGTCGGGAAAGTCCTTGAGCTTCTCGCCCACTCGGCGCATCATCTCTTTGAACAGACCACTGTTCTCCACTTTAAGTTCCTCGAACATCATCCTCTTCCAATCGGCGCTCTCGATGCTGAATCGCACAACACCTCGCACCCCGCGCAAGGCTTCTTCTGTTGCCACCGACTTGCCGGACTGATAGCGACCCCCAATGATGGTCGCATGTTGTTGCCAGCTCTCAACGCGTTTCCGGATAGTTCCCATCACTGGCCTTTGGATGACCTCGTCTTGCGGCCTGCTGGGCTCAAAAGGTTTCATGGCCTTTGCCACTGCTGCTCGGATTTTGCCCTCGGAAGAGGCTTTGAATGTCCGCACTGAGTCCCTGACTGCCCGCACTGCCTGTATTGTCGCTACAACAAGACCCGAAGCAGAAACAATGACTTGCCAGACCTTCACGTCCAAAGCTCTGCAATGGGTCGAGCGTGGGCGCAAATCCTCTTTCACCTCGAGGGCAAAGATTGAGGAGTGAAAAATATACAATGCAATATAAAACCAAAAATATGCAAGAATGTTTTTTATGTCTGACCAAGTAGAAAAAGTTACCAAACAGCAAAGTTTCAATGCTAGACCCAATAAATTGAGGACGCTCAATGAGGCCCCGCAGTCTCGCTGATGCCACCTGCGGATGAAAGAGAAACAAACTACGCACTTTGCATGAATCCATTCAAGACACACCAAATTTAAAAAATGTCTTTATAACAGAATAATAAACGCAACCGTGTCTTGAAACTGCATGTCCATCGCCAACCTGCGGTGGTGGCACAAAGGCCCCCATCAACTTCACCAAAATAAAAACCAGCGCCATCCATGGCTTGACACGCACTCGGTGCCTCCGCTTCATGGCAAAACTATCCCCACACTCAAGTCCCGACTGCAGAAGAGCTCACATTATTCTAAGCTCAGGGCGTGATTTTGGTAAACTTGGTGTCTGATCTTGATTTTGGACGAAATCAAAAACATATTGCACAAGTCTTTGGAAATTCTGCATGCGTGCGTCCGCCCCGATGTCTTGCCACAAGCCGTTTTGAGCAAACTCTGCGGCATGGACGCTGTCAAGCTGGGCAAACGCGTCGTCAAGCAACAAACGAAGGCCTGAGAAGTAACTTGCAGAACCAAGACGGCGTTAAGGAAGGAGATTAAGAGATTACGTGAGGGCATCTAGCAAAGGAAAGGCTTAAAGGACAATGATATCAGGCAACGATATTTAGAGGATCGCTGCGAGTCCCATTTGCCTTGCATTCGGCCTTGCAAGAGAACTGCCTCGCAAGTTGATAGCGAAGGCCAGCTGAAATACGGAAGGACAGTGCATCCCACAGGAGCAGTTCGCGTTGCCGCGCCCCACGGCAAATTCCATAGCCGACCATGGAAATAGAAGATTGGTTCGTAGATGCAGTAGCGACATGCACTCAGCAAGTCAACACCGTCACTGAGAACACATTTGTTGCATGAACATGTCTAGCGCCCATTGCCCTGTGCCGCAACACTCTCACCCAAACAGCTTTGGTTTGTGTGGTGCCTGACAAGTGTCCTCTTCGTTGAAAAGACCCGATGTTGTTTCTTCAAGGCTAAGCCCTACGCAACAGACCTATCATCAGGTTTGCGCAGTGTTCGACCAACACCACCTGCCTCGTGTCCTCGTGTGGGCGGCGCCTCATCGAGAATGAGATAGCCACACGTGTAAAGGCTCATGATGCTGGGGCTCCACCCACCAAGCTCATCGCGCATCTGGGTGGCATCTGCGCTCACCACTCCCTCATGAGCTCAACAGAAACATCTTGCCGATTTTTGAACTCTGTTGTCACTGTCCTATTCAAGTGTTGACGGGCGAGGTGTTCCTGACCACAGGAAGTCTTCGGCGCAATGGCGCGCGGGCCACTCAGGTTGTCGATCTCCCTGTCGCCCTCCTCTGCTCGGGTGACAATAATGAGCTGGCGTCCGCGTGCAAAAGCTTGCCGGGTGAGCTCAATCAATGCATTGCCGTCGCCCTGCAGCCCACCATCGAAAGCATTGTCGAAGAAAATGCGCGCGCCAATGCCATGACTTGCAAGCTGTCTGAAAAAAACGAGCGCGCAACCTTGAGTGCAAGGGATGTGGCTGAAACCCGGAAAAACCTTGAGGCTCTGTCCAAGCTCTCCCTGCAGTACCACCATCACGCAGGACTCGCTTGCGTTGGTTTTCAACACAGACTTCTGAAAAGCTCTGTGGCTTCTGCGGCAACTTCTCGCTTATCTTTTCCGACGCAAAAATGCGGAACGCATGGCTTTTATCCGCACATAAGCTGTTGTTCCAGTTGCTGGCTTTAATGCATCACCGTGTCTTTCGTATAATATGTTGCGAATCACGCGCCGCGTGATCAGGTGTACACTCAGGCGCCGTGGCCCCTGGCCCAAATCACCCCACAGCGAGTGGGAGTTTGCTTCGCCCGCTGGCTACGAGTGGCATTGAAAAGGTGCGCTCGCGCTTTGGTTCTCTACCTTGTCTTCAGCCTGGGGCCTCGTGGGCCCTGGCAACGACATGATATTGGCAGAGGAGCCGCTCTTCGGCATCCAGACTGCGGGTCACTTTGGCATCCTCAGCAGAACCGGCAGTACGGCAACCTCCCGGACAGCGACCTAGGTATCTTCATGGCACTTCACAAAGCTCCATGAGCCTCCCGTCCACGGATGTGGCCACTACAAGGGATAGCTGCGTTCCCCTGTTCAGTGGTCAACCCAATGACTGCCGGGAGCGGCGGAAGAGGATAGCTTTGTACCACAAGAAGATGGTGGCACCGAAGAGAGAGAAGGAGGCGGTCTGTGGAGGCGGTCTACAACTCCTTGGCTCTCTCACCGGCACCGCCCGGAAAGTTGTGGAACAGCCCAGATCGAGGATGACGCCTTCGAGAAGATCCTGAAGTTGCTGGACCAATCCTTCCAGTACGTGTGGAGCTGACGTCTGACTCTGATGGCTACTTCAACCAGGTTCAGCGCCGGGCAGGTCAGACCTTCCTGAGCTATGTCACCGAGCACGACGAGGCCCTGCGCGAGGTTGCCAAGCGCGGTGTTGACCTCCCCTCCAGAATTGTTGGCTGGCATCTTCTTCGGCGTGCCAACCTTACCCGTGAACAGGTACGCCTCATCACCGCCCACGCCAACAAGGCCACGGACCGCGACACCACCGTCAAGGCCTCCTACTACATCCTTGGTCAAGACTACAAGCGCCCCAACCACAAGCACAACACCTACGATCGGTTCGAAGACGCTGCCAGCAGCATGGTTATTGGATGATGACACCTACGAGGACCAGAAGGGCTTTGCCGACTGGCCCGAGGAGGATCCTATGTTATGTACTACCAGCACGATGAATACTGGGAAGAACAAGATTAGCCCGAGGAGTACTGTGACCCCGCCTTCTACGAAGCTGATGAAATTGGAGACTGCACCTACATGAGCGCCGATCCTGCCTCTTGGGCAGTTGAGGAGTATGATCAGGTCCACAGCGCCGACGTGGACGCCAGCAAGAGGTTTCAGGAGCTGGAAGGTCAACCAGCTGTTGCTTCCGGACATTCCAAAGCTCAAGGACGAGGAAAACGTCCGGTGGCAAGCCTTCGAGCAAGGGCAAGCCTTCACAGGCCAAGTCCCGAGCTGCGAGCGCAACGCAATGCAAAGGCTGCGGTGGATCTGGCCATTGGGCCAGCACATGCCCTCCACCACAAGCAGCCTCGTTCCGTTCTACGCCCAATCCGAACAAGCGCCCCGCCATCAAGGATGGATCCGCGATGATGGCCAACCTGCTGATCGACCAGTTCGGACCCGAACGGCCGGATGCTGTCATGTTGGATCCTGGAGCATCGTCCTTCTTGGCTGGCTACCAGCTCGCCTATGTCTCCCACCTCGAGTTCATCGGCTACCCCATTGACCAGATCCAGTTCAGCCGCTGCGCCAAGGACTTGTGGTTTGGAGGTGACCATTCAGGCCGAAGCACATGGGTGGTCCGCATACAAGTATGGCGTCGCTGATTGCTTCCTGCTGCCCGGACACACCCAATGCTTCTTGGAAGACCTGTGATGGAGCCCAGCTGGACTTTGCCAACAAACAAATTCGGCTTCCTGGTGGTCATTGGTGCCGACTAGAATGTGGTCGACAGGATGAATACCTTCTATCCCTGACTGACTCTATGACCTGGAGTCTTGTCCCTAGCCGTTTTTTTGGCCTGGTGCAAAAAAAAGAAGTTCTAAGAGCATGCAGCGATGAACCGTTTCGAATATGCAGCCCTTCTGATTCAAGAAGAAAAGGCGCGCAGCTCTGCACGCGAGGGTTATGAGCCCAACGCCCTGGGCTTTTTGACCAGCCATGGCGGACGAGGAGGAGATGGCCACACCGTCCGACGAGGGCAACCCTGTGACCTGCATCTGGCGGGTGTACTCCGCCGAGGGGCTCTCCGGTGGTCTACGGACCTGTGGACCATTGACTGCATGGGGCACATACGTGTTGACAAGAGGACGCATCACATCATTGCGTTTGGGTTGCAGCAGTCGCCCGATGAAAATACCCGAATTGGTAACCTCGCTCGTGACTGGAATATAATTGCTGCGAAGCCCAAGCATGTTGACCTTGCATCGGTCGACTTTAGTCTGCCCGTGCGATATGGTTTCCTCGCTGACACATCTAACCCCCTTGCATTGCGAACAGGTGGCGACCGACGCAGCACTGAGGTGATTAGCTACCAGAGTCACAACAGCTCCACCTGCAATCCCAATGCTTACCAGTGGGCACTGCAGTTTGCACAAGCCACCTCTCACGCCTCCGAGATTTTTGGAATCAGCTTGCACCAGGCCTGTGAAGGTATTGATTCACAGGAACTTACTCAGGACCTAGTCGTCTTTGTGGTAAGAAAGCACGCTTATGATGTCACGCAAGTTTGTGACTTCCTGCGCAGTCAGGGAATTCCTGTCGCTCCATTCATTGGTTACCTTGCTGCCCAAATTACGCCGGAAGCATTTGAAGCACTACGGCTTACTGCGAACGAGCAGGGAGTTGTCTTTCCCAGTAGCTGTCAAGACGGGGCGTATCGTATTGTCATCAAAGACAGATGCGCTAAACTCGTCCACCCTGGTGCAACTGTTGACACCACACTACAGTTTGCTTACCATGAACCAACGCCAATTGATTTTTACACCGGATTTACTACTCTAGAGTGGCTTTGTACCTACGCGGGCGGCCGCCATTTTCGAGCTGTCACAGTACAAGATGCCTCTTCGCAACAACATTCGACCGCCCTATGGTTTGATGTTCCCCGTGCCTACGCTGAAGACCTACTTGCCGAGGGACCACATCATGTTACCGTTGGCAGCTGGACTGCCACCATTAGATGGCCGCAAACGCTGAGTGAGCTCGGGAAAAAGAAAAACAGAAAGAACTCACTGGAAACCCCCGCCCAACATTGGGAACGTTTTAGACCACCCCAAGATCTAGTGTCTGGTTCACGCGTCCCTGTTGCGATTGTCCCCGACCCCGCTAAACTTTCACCTTTTCAGCGCTCGTGCCTCAATGCCAGCTGCATTACACTGACGAACGACAATGCGTCCATACAAGCACTCCTTCTAGAGGCGCCGATTTCCATTTTGGCCATGCCGTATGGTCCTGATCAATTCGAGGAAGCCGTCCTCGCCCGTATGCACTGGCCGATTCAATCGGAGTTCCCTTGGATGCATTGCGAACTTGCGTCTGCGCAAGTCCCCTCGCCAGACTCCAAAATTATATGCAAATTTCATGTTGAGGGTTCCAATAAGATCGCCCTTTATCATGAATCTACCTTTGTCCACATTGGCTGGCACCAGGGTGGAGCTATGTATGTCAGTGGTTGTTTTGGGCAAGTCATGTCCCTCCTTCCT